TCCACGCAGGGATAAGAGTTCAAACTAATCTTTTAGTTGTCAGTAAAAAAAAAAAGTAGTGTTGTTAATAGCAAAAATCGCCTGTCTTAATCACTTAGCTAGCAATAATTGATTTCATTAAAAAAAAGTTGAAAGATGCCAGAATAAAATTGGTTTGTAGGTTTTTCAGCATTTTAACATATGCTATAAATTGCATAACAGCCCCCTGAAATGCAATCCAAAGGTGAATACATGTAAACCTAACTGTGGATCAGTGCAGCAACAACAAATGGTGGGGATATCTGGTTACAGTATGCAGGAAGGTTGCAGTCGAACAGGAAAAGCCAATCATCAGACACCTTATCAAAATATGACAGCTGGCTGAGTCTGTCAGTGAAGGGGGGAACCTCCCACCCCACATGCTGGCGATAATAAGACCCTTGATATCTGCACTAAGCCAAGCAGTGAGTTCTGCTATCTCAACCACCTCTGCTATTGGTCTTAACAACAACAAGGCGGGCAGGGTTTTGGGATGTGATCATTAGAACAGTAAGCAACACTGCAGAAGTGGAAAAAAGTAATATTGCACATACAGTATCACAGCGTATATAAGGTGAATTGTAAAGCTTTAAATATGTCACATCTCTGCTGTCAGAGACACACAGGTGGAATGCAGAAGTCTCTAAAAGCTGCTGTTTTTCTTTTGCAAAGGAAGCTTTCTTACTCTTTGGGCTTGTGATGAATTTTGGGCCTAACACTGGTGAACTGAGACATGTCTGGTAATTCTTGGTGATCTCTGTGTGTCATCGTCTTGACTTTACACACAGTTATATGGCTCAGTTTACTGCTGTGCCCTTTTGGCTCCTCCTGTTTGCCTTCTGTTCTCGACAGAAGTCCTCCATTTATGAATTTTGATTAGGATTAGTAAATGTGATGGAGGACTGATTTGCTTTGCGTATGATTTGAATAATAGTGTGCAGACAAGCAATCCTTGAACTTTTCTCGGAGCTTACTTTGCTTTTCTTTGACATTTTTTGCAGACGTTTTTAATCAACCACCTCCGAGGTTATTCTTCAGGGTTGCATAAAGTAATTTATATTTAAGTTCAAAAATCCTTTAAAGCAATTGCATGTGCTGTAAAGAGCAGGCATTTTGGATCTGTAGTCCGTGTCTGTTACTGTAAACAGCTCTTTTGGCGCCATTGGGTAACGGAAAGTCTGCTAAATTCAAGACTGAAGGACACCTAAATGTCACTGACCCCTTTTGTAAGCTTTTGGTGGCCACACCCAAAGCTTTATCCTGATTGGAAGCTTCCAGGTGATTTCTGTCCAACAATCATATTGATGGCTACCTGGGGGCCTTCGGGGGATTTCGTGTGAGAAGACGATCTCACTAAGTGAGATGCTGTTAGGAGAGTGGAGAAAATGCATAGAAGACAAGACCCTTCAGGCCGTCGTTGGAAAAGCCATCCATCCCCTGAGGAATGCTGGTCTCTGCCAGAGAAAACAACATAGAGCAATCTTTGTGTGTGAAACAAAGGGCTGGGCTTTCCCATAACAATGCCAAATCATCTGTATCCCCTCTTCCCTAGAGATCCACCTCTAGTGTGACAATAAACACAAACTTGCCCCCAAGAAAGTGAGAAAAGGCTAACATTTCCACTGAATCCAGTGATACAAAACAAACAAACATGGACAGGTGGGTTGGGTCAAAAGACCTCTTGCCCTTCGCAGAGTTGCCTGATACCTTGATGAGGATGGATTTTCTCTTCCTTCTGCTTCCTGAGGTAAAGGGGTGCAAATGAGTCAGTCTTCCAAGTAAGGAATATTTGCACTCCTCACGAACAATCTTCTTAGTGCTCATGTATCTTGTAAAGACGTAGTTTGCCTATGACAGGCTAAAATGAAGGACAATAAGGCGATACGCTTGCCCTTGAAGGACAATGTAAACATATTCCTTGTGTTTTGGAAGAATAAAATATTTTTTTAATTTATGGAGGCAAACCACTAGCCTGAAATAAACACCTAAAAAGATTTTGATCTTTTCTTCTTCCTGTGTGAGAATATATGTCGAATAAAATGCTTTTTCAGCTTCTGCCCTCAAAATAACTGACCAGCCAGTGTTTGATAGCAGTCATCAGACACCCATGATGTCATATGACAGCAAGGCTGGATACCAAATGCTCTGCTTCGCTGGTTATCGCTCCAAAGGCATGGATTACTTCCTCACTTACTCTAATAATCTTCCTGCATGCTGTAGTTGTGACATTCTTGGCAGCGCTGCCATAATTATTTAAAGAAGGCTATCGCTTACCAAAGATTAAAGCATGAGACAACAGGCTTGTTCCTAAGATGCAAGACACTGATCCAGGTCGCGTGTATGAAAACCAGGAAATCTGAACTGTGAACAAGCCACAGGAAATGATCCAAACTCCAAGCAGACCGACTTTCAAAGATGCACACAGATACGCATCTAAATAGGAACATCACTATACAGTTAGTCTGTCAGACTGAATACCCAGTGTGGATTTGAAGCTGATGTAGGCCTGAGGTAAACTGCAAAGCTTGGATCAGATTCTCCAACCATTCTGCTAGTTCACAGCACAGATAAATAAGCAAAGCCAGACGTTATTATCTAGCCTTTTTCTCTTCTTTTTCTTCCAGCTGCTCTATTTGGGTTCACCACAGATGTACTCATTTCTGATTTTGTCCATTCTAGTCAATGAAGATCTCCAGCTCAGCCTCTTGTCTTTTTGTCAGTACCACTGTCTACAAACCATACATCATAGCCGGTCTCTCTACTATCTTCCCTTTCACTTCTGCTGCTATCTTTCTGTCACAAATCACCCCAGACACTCATCTCCACCCACTTCACCCAGCATCCACACTCTTTTTCTCCTCTCTTGTGAACTATCTGTTGCTATGTATGGTTGACCACCTGATGTATTCCAACCCCCACCTTGAGCCTATTTTTCACTCCAACCAAAGCAACATCACACACATAAAGACTTTTATCTAAAATTCACCCACTCACAGTCCAGTGGGTACATCAAGGACAACTCGGGTTTCTGTATCTTGTTCACAGTTACTAATCCGCAGACCTTCTGATTGGTAGATGACCTGCCTACCACCTGAGCCACAGCTCCCCTAAACCGACCACACCACACATCTCACCTCTGTTACGCTGTCCTCACCTCCTACATCACCCTCACATACATCTCTGCCGCTCCAGACTTCTTCCTGTAGTACCACAATTCCTCCCTTGGCACCCGATCATCTGTTTTCGGATTTTTCCTATATTAGAAAGTCCATATGAGACTCACGTTACCACAGGAAGATTCAGTAGCTACCAGAAGTTACCAATACTAAAAATTAAAAAGGAATAAAACAAAAAAGAAATGCAGGAATTTTTTTCATCTGTCACCCTAAAGCCAAGCTGCACTGTGCCTCGCAAAAGCACAATGCACTTGCCTCCCTTCAGATCTGCAGGCAAAGAACAAAACCCTGACACAGATGTTACAGAGGGAAAAGAAGCAAGAAGATCAAGGAGGTCTTATACCATCTACCACATGGTATTTATACCTGTGAGGCACATGTAGCTGAATGGAGCAAAGCGAGACACATCTTGTCAGAAAAGAATGAGGCAGCTGCAGTGGTTGTAACTACAGGTATGCTTATTAAATTTGTACTTACAAAATAACTTATTATTGATTATTTACTGTTTGCAGTTCAGAAAAAGCTGTGATGATAGATTGGCAGAGAGATAATTTCAATATTTTTATTAGAAACATTACTATGTTTTTAGTCTTGCATTTTTTTTTTTGTTTTGTGGTATGTTTTACTCTATTTCTTGCGGTATTTATGGTATTATTATTTTATTTATAATATTAATACCCTGTCCTAATATGGGTATTTTGAGTTTAAACTAGATTTTATAATACAAAAATTTATGAAGACAGCTTGGGGTGTCTAAATTAATGTTTTTAAATCGCTTTTAAACTCCTTTATGTACCAAATCTTAGTTCGATTAAAAAAACAACAACTTTACTCTAAGTTAGTTTTTAAACCTGAAATCTAGCCTAGTCTGAAATGTTTTACAGATAGATAGAAATATAAAGTTTAAAGTAGATTACAAACAGTCCTCTATGTACTTGACTAGTAAACAAATACAACCAAATCTGTAAAAATGTAAACGAAATGTTCTGCATATTTGATTTGATTTGATCTGTTTTCAGAGTATTTTATATAATTTATTTATTTATTTTTAATTTTTGTTATTTTATGTATGACAAATGCAAGAGGCAAGATTTAGAAAAATCACAAACAGAACTTTTTAGAAGCAGTTGACTTTCAGTCTATAGACAAAAGCCGTCGACTGACCAAATACCAAAATTCAGGATATTTCATCTATATATTTTTTTGTTTTGTTTTTCAAGTTCACAAAATCGTTTCACTGACTTTTTTTTGTTTAACTTACTTTACTTACTTTTTTTAAAATTTACTTTGCACTTTTCTTTACGTTTCTAGTTTTTATTATTTTTTCAGTTAAATAAAACAAATCTAGTTTTAGTTTTTTGCCTGCTTTCAGTTAACTATAAAAACCTTGGTTATTTTTGATAGAAAAACAACATGGTTTTAACATAATTTTCCCTTTCCTTTTCAGTTAAATCTAATAATGATAATATATGATTTATTACTACTATATTTGTGATACTATATCTGTCTATCGCGTACTTTGTCATGTATAAATCACACAGGCATACAAATAAACATTTGAAGCTGTGCAATGAACTTGTCAAAGCAGATGTGCAGCTGACATGGTGTAAGGGAACACTAATAGCGTTTGGCTCTGAACGCACAAATAAAAATAAAGACTCATTCCTCTAAAGTCAGACAAAAGAGCACTCTAACGGTATCCCACATCTGCGAAATACAATCGCTGCGATGCTCCAAAAACGCGGAAGCATGCCTGGTTTGGCATCTGCTCAGAGCCATCTGTGGCCAATCCAAGCCCCTGAGCGCTCCGTGAACGCAGCTGAGTGCTGGTGACGGTTCTCGGGAGCAGCTTAGTCAGAAACAGGAGTGACCGCTAGCTTCATGACAGCCGTGCAGACGTGAACTAGCGGGAGCGGAACATCTTTCGCAGGGAAGAAGGAGCGGGAGAGACAGAGGGAGAGCGAGGGGCAGCTGGAAGGAAAGGGGGCGGCTACTGGACTTTGCTTTCCTCGCGTTTTAAACCGAGTAAACACTCGCATCGATTTCGGGCTAGCCCCTTTTGAAGACCTCAAAAACATAAGCTGGAAGGTTAGCTAGCCGCCGCCATCTCTTCTCAGTCGGAGCGACCGCCGTGTCTTCCACACCATGGGGAACGCTGCCACCGCCAAGAAGGGCAACGAGCTAGAGAGCGGTGAGTGCGAGCTGTCGTTTGAACTCAGCAGTGTTATTGTGTTGCGTTTAGTCATCTCAACAAGATGCCACGAAGCAGCCAGCTAGCCTGTTATAACTAAAAACTGTTTAAACTACCAGCCAGAGTAAAGCAAGGGAGGGCCGTCCGTCCGTCATCACCCCCCGCACATTCCCACATTGCACCGACGCTGAAAGCACTCTCCGTTTAGATAGAAAAATGAGCATGAAGGATTGTTTTTGTGGTTCTGCGAATGTATATCCATTTTTTTTAAATAGGGGGGCTATTGAAGGTAGCTATAGCGCCAAGAAGACCCCGGGATTGTTGTGGTTTTTTGGCATTCAGAGAGGTGGGGAAGGGGAGCCCTGGCAGTGTTAGGAGACTATTAAAACCTGTTAAGTAGCCAGGAAAACAGTGCGTGTCTATTAATGGCTCTCTGTGGTCATTTCAAATATTAAAAAGGCGGTTTGCATGCAAACTGGAGCACAAGAAAGCCTGGAAGAGCAGCTAGCCTGCTAACTTTAGCTTTAAGTGGTGGTAGTGGTAGTGGTGGGGGGATTAGCCCTCAGAAGGCCCCTGTCATTTCATTGCCTCTTGATGGTTGTAGCTTTCCAGGGCCTTCATACACTGACACACTCATCAGCGACTTGTATTTGTCTCATGTCAAAATCCCTGCTTAATGAGTAAAAATCCTAAGCCTTAGCATCACCTCGCCACCTCTTTTGTTGTGTCATCTCGAGCTTTATAATGCTTTGGCTCTTGCTGCATATTTGACTGCAGGCTTCTTCTCAACAATAACAACAGCAGCTAGTTGTACGAAGACAGAAAGTTTTCACAGATGGTCTTAAATCTGCGGCAATAAACCGCAGGCTCTTGGGTAATTGTTAAATAAATAGACAGTAAATTTTATCTGAAGGCAGCGTAGGATTGTTCCTGCCCCGGGCTCTTCACTGCCACATTTTATTCTGGGCTGCATAAACAGCAGCATGACCAAATATGGTGGAGAAATGACAAATGCCCTCTTTCCATTCATAAAGCCTGGACCTGCTGCCGTCTTCCCAGCATTAGGGCCGCAAGCTCCCCAGAAAGCACACTTTAATAATGTCACTCATTTGTTTAGAGTCCCTTTGCTAATCTTACTGTGGTAAAGGTCCATCAGGGCTCACTTCTCACACTCAGTGTCATTGACTGGAGCAGCTTGTCATCAGACCTTCGTCAGAGGATAAGGGGTATTACAAGCTTTGAAAGGTTTGACGTAGCTCAGACTAGGCCAGTGTTACTTTGTGCTCATATGCTTTTATGTGTGCAGCTGGTCATCATTGAGCATCCCCTTGCTCTTAAATAATAAAAAAAAATCCTCTTGTATTTGGCTACAAACAAAAACACGCCCAGTGCATTTTCTTACTCTTAAAAAAAACAACACAAAGCCGAGAACCATCTGGGTTGAGTTGTACACTGAGTTTGTTTAAGGTAATGCCACTTTATGATGCAGTGATTGTTGAGATTTATTGACCTGTAGAGAGACACCAGACAGGCCCTGTGCACAGTTCCAAGCAGACGTACTCAGGCAGACGGAGATGATCAGATCAGCTATATTATCTATACTGCCAAGCATTTCCGCTGAATGCAACTATGATCCCTAGATCCTGGGCCATAGCTAACTGTTAAACCCATTTAAGCTGACACTGTGCTCCGAGGGGCAGATTTGTCTGGAGTGTAGCCGTCCTGATAAGACGACCTGGTTACCCACAGAGCTGCACGTTACCTGTGTTTACTGTACATTGATGCAACGAGCTGGACCGGTTGGAAGAGCACTGACACGGTCACACTTGGACGGAGAGATTAAACACTCGCCATCATGACACCTGTTTTATTTCACAGTGCGCGTGTACTGTAGTGTAACTGGATAAGCCAACATAACTCAACCATGTCTTGCTTGTGTGGAGTTTGGCATTGATCTCAGAAAGGGCTTGTCGACTGTGCTAACTTTACTCTATAGACACGCAGCATTGCAAAGAGTATTGAAGATTTCAACTGAACAGGTCTAAACCTCACAGTTTGTTTTTTCTAACCCCCGCACTGAATTAGAGTTGAGACAGTATATTCCTCAAGTTTTTGATATAATTTTTAGATGCTTCATTTATTTCTCTAACAAGCTGGATATTTTTTTTCTAATGTATTTGCAGACCTTGGAATTGGAATTTATGCTTAGTTTGTGATGGGTTATTTAAGCAAGGGTAAAAATGTGTCTTTAACTTTGACCTCTGCAGTTTGGGGCATTATTTTCTTATTTTTAACAGATTAAAGTTTATAAAAAGTCATACTAGAGCTAAGAAAAGTAATTAAGAGAATAGATGATACAAGTTGGCAACAATAGAATATGCAGTGAAACAAAATTTGGTTTTGCAGCTCTACAGATGTTTTAGTTAAAAGTATAAAAATTCATATAAATGGTAACAAAAAACACAAAACGATAACAATAATGACTCAATAGTACAAAAATATTGCGCAGTGGTTCAGCAGGATGAGTGATGTGGCATCTGCAACAGCATCTGCTGTGAAAATGTATAATGGATGATATACAGGGCACTGTTAAATGCAAATAAAATCTGTATGCTATGACCTGCCAGTCAATATATCCAATGGAAACTGAAAAACTGTTTTATTTTCCCTCATAAAAATGCGTGTGTTGAACTTAATACCAACAGCACGCTTTAAAAAGTTGGTGAAGGAGGATGTTTACTGCTGTATTGTATCACCTCTTTGTTTTCACAGCCCACTGGAACTAAGGAGACCGACTGCTGTTGTTTTGAAATGGTGCTGGAAGTGACTCGGATAGCATGTGTCTGATTCTTAGAAACCAGAACCTCATTTGACAAAATCACTATACTCATGTTAAAGACAAAAACACCCAAATGTCTTGGTGTCCATAGAGTTTATCAACAAAAAGTTATTGCTAAAAACCTTCAATTCCAACATTGAGGTAGCCACTTATTACTGTACCATAGCTGTTCTTTTTTCAGTGAGAGTGAAAAAAGAAAGAAGATGCTTTAAATAAAAAAAGTTTGTAGTTCAGATTAGATTTGTAATGTTTTTATCTTTGCTACAGATTATCTTTTCAGGCTGATCTAGCACGCATGGCTGAATTTCTGATACAGCTTTTTTTAAAACACCATAGTAGGCAGTCAGTCGCTTCTTCGATTCCTCACGTGACTCTCAGCTCTGTTTTCATTCCTGTTGCTTCTATTCACTACACATGCTCCATGTTTGTTGACGTGTTATACTTGTTTTTATGTACATGAACTCTATATTTCTCTCTGTTTTCTCTTTTCCATCACATCATCCGTGTGGGTGATTGTTCCTGCAAAACCTTGGTGATCAATAGAGACCTTTGGTATGCTAAATTCCTCCAAAGATGACCAGAATGGCAAACAGAATTGGTCTTATTGTGAAAACCTGCTAGATGTGCTTGCTTTTTACTTTGTCCTGCTTTGAAAATAATTCAGTATTTTTTGTTATCTGCATTCTCTCAATCTGGATATCTGCTGTGTGTCCCATACATTGGTTTGTTTATGCTTACCATTTTATGCTTTGTTTGGTAGCCTTCCCACAAACTCCTTGTAAGTGATGCACAAGATGCTCAGATAAACTTTTCCCTCTCATTTCTGAGTGCTGTGGTCCTCTTACCGTTTTTAGTAAGGCTACAAAATAACAGAGAACGTTCTGAGTGTCTTGGAATGCATCACTAGTCTGCTTGTTGTGGATGTTGCTGTCTTGTGTTTTGTATTTTGTCCCCCTCTTTAAACTAAAGTATGTGATACTTTTAATATATGTTTTAATTCATATCCAGATGAGAGTTGATTGCCCGTATTGTTCTCCTCATTTGTTCCTTTCCCTTCTATAACAATGCCCTTTGTTCTTTTTGCCAACTATAACTTTTGTACTCATAAGCCAAGCTCTTTTGGCATAAAGAAGTGTATGCTGACCGCCGGTCTGTCCTCTTTATCTTTTAGTTAAAGAGTTTCTAGCCAAAGCCAAAGAAGATTTCTTACGGAAATGGGAATGCCCACCACAGGTCAGAATCTCGAAAAGTTGAACTCGCTATTTAAAGACTTGGCACACGAAGCAGGCTAACATAATGTTGTTTCAACAGAGCACAACGTGCCTAGATGACTTTGACAGATTAAAGACGCTGGGTACCGGCTCGTTCGGTAGAGTCATGCTGGTGAAGCACAAAGGAACAGAGCAATACTTCGCCATGAAAATACTGGACAAGCAGAAGGTCAGTGGCAACACTGTCAAACAGACAGTAGTGTTGACATGAGCGGGAACCACACAGTGACGATGAAAGTGAGGTGGCGCTAAACACATCCAACAAATGGCTGCTAATCTTCTTAAAAAAATGACATTATAACCCGTTCTTGTTGTATTAAAAGGGTTACTGGGGGACACAAGTAAAATAAATTATAACTAAAAGCTGCCTTTGCTTTCAGTGTTCAGCCGCGTCTGTTGCTAATGTTAGTGAGATTTGCCCGGCAAGGTCATCTTATCTCTTTATCTGTCAGGTGGTGAAACTCAAGCAAATAGAACACACATTAAATGAGAAGAGGATATTACAGGCAGTGAGCTTCCCCTTTCTCGTCAAACTTGAGTACGCATTTAAGGTACAGTATGATTTTTGGCATTATATAATTAAAATTCCTTTATTTGAGTCTCAGTAAAATTAAATTGTGTTTTTTGGCCCCTCCCCTCTTATTTTAGGACAACTCCAATTTGTACATGGTAATGGAGTATGTTCCAGGTGGTGAGATGTTCTCACACCTAAGACGAATTGGAAGGTTCAGGTTAGTTTTCTTCTGCAGTCTCCTGCAGTTTTGATTCGTCATATAGATTTTCTGATATTACTCGCGCGTGTTTGTTTACGACTCTAAACAGAATTATCTCTTCTTCCGTTCCAGTGAACCACATGCGCGGTTTTATGCCGCCCAGATAGTGCTGACATTTGAATACCTCCATTCACTAGATCTCATATACAGAGATCTGAAACCCGAGAATCTTCTAATTGACCACCACGGCTACATTCAGGTGAGCCAGAACGCAGATAAATACACCATTCTGCTGTGTTTTCTGTGTGTCCACACTTGCTGAATAAACAATGTGCGACTGACTTCCAGGTGACAGATTTTGGATTTGCTAAGCGGGTAAAAGGCAGGACATGGACGTTGTGTGGGACACCGGAGTACCTGGCTCCGGAAATCATACTCAGCAAAGTATGGACGTCATTTTGTAACTTTATTTTTTCATTACTTTTCTGCACTGTATCAAAGCATTTTTTCTTACTTTAGTCATTATTTGATTAATATTGAAAATCAGTGATGCCACACAGAAATCAAGCTGCTGTTGTGTGACTACATAGGAAGAAAAGGTTTACAGCTCATCTTTTAAACAGCTTGTCTGTAGGACTGCAAGCAACCTCATCACCGTTTCCTTTCTAGACATGTAGGTGAGCTTTAAGTGTCCGCTGCAGCTCAATGGAAGTGGACCTACTGCCTGTGTAAATAAGAAGGGCACATTCTAACAATGCAAAACTTTTAGTTATAGGTGATACAGTAATAACAACTCCCAGGCAACTTTAGGTACAGATCTCCATTAGGTTTCAGAACTGACTGAATTCTTCATTTTATATAGATTCTGTTCTCATAAAGGGATGGACATGGTCAACAATACTCTGTGATGTTTAAACAATGCTCAATTGGTACTCGGGCTCAAAGTGTGCCAAAGAAATATCCCCCACTTCATTACACCACCACCAGCAGCCGGATACAAGGCTGGATGAATCCATGCTTTCATGTTGTTTTCACTAAAACCTGACCAAATTTTGGAGCAGAAATCGAGACTGATCAGACCAGGCAACTTTTTCCATCTGCTATTATTCAGTTTTGGTGAACCGGTGTGATTTATAGCCCCAGTTTCTTGTTCTTAGCTGACAGGAGTGGCACCAGGTGTCCTCTTCTGCTGTTATAGCCAATCTGCTTCAAGGTTCAGTGAGTTTTGAATGCAGTTGCTGTTGACTTCTCATTCTCTTCTGGCCTTTGGCATCAACAAGACATTTTTACACAGAGAACTGCTGCTTTCTGCATAGTTTCCCTTTGTCAAACCATTCTCTGTAAACCCTAGAGTTGGTTGTGTGGGATAATCCCAGCAGATCAGTTTCTCAAATCCTCAGACCAGCCTGCCTGGCACCAACAACTATATTAAGGTCTAAGTCACTTAAAACACCCTTCTTTCCCATTCTGATGCTCAGTTTGAACTTCAGTAGGTTGTCCTGACCGTGCATAAATGAATTGAGATGTGCAGTATGATTGGGTGATTAAACATTTGCGTTAATGAGCAGTTTTGACTGAGAACGTTTATGAGTACCGTTTCATTTCTGCTAATGGATGCTTGTAAAGCCTAAACACTGGTCTCTAGATGAGTCATATTTTACAAAAGTTTCTATGACAAAAAAATAAAAATCATCATTAAAAGAAAAGGACTGTTGCAGGAATTTATCTAGAGGGAACAGAATTGTCTGTGCTTGCTATACAAATGTCTTATTTCTATATACAAAGTTCCAGTTTTCTAACTGCAGGTCAGAGTAAAATCAGTGGTGAAGTGCAGATTCTTACAATGCAACTAACCAAAGCTCCTGAGTGTTATTATCCAAGTGCAGCTGCGGGAGCCATTTGGAAGTTTTCTCAAGTGATAAATTATAATGAGAAAGTCTTAAATGTCTTAAAAACAGCCTACTTTTTCACCAATTATATACTAAAAGTGTTTTTCTTCTTGTGTGTTACTGTTACATTAACATGTGTTATGTTCGTTTTAGGGCTATAACAAAGCTGTGGATTGGTGGGCCCTTGGAGTCCTCATCTATGAAATGGCAGCTGGCTACCCTCCTTTCTTTGCAGATCAGCCTATTCAGATCTATGAGAAGATTGTGTCTGGAAAGGTAAGAAGCTGCTTCTTTTGGAAATGCAAACATGATGGCATGAGGAGCAACGGTCATGCATGATAGCTAAGTTAAATTAAATGTGCACGAATGCTTTAACTACTAGAAATGAAATCCTAACACTTGCGGCCTTTTCAGGTTCGGTTCCCGTCTCACTTCAGCTCCGATTTAAAGGACCTGTTGAGAAACCTGCTGCAGGTGGATCTGACCAAACGCTACGGCAACTTGAAGAATGGAGTCAATGACATCAAAGGACACAAATGGTTCGCCACAACAGACTGGATCGCAATCTATGAGAGAAAGGCAAGATACCAAACACACATTAAAGTGACACCATACAGAATTAGCTTGTAGAGTTAATTACATATCGATTTACACCCTTATTTATTTATTTATTTATTTATTTATCTTCTAGAAAGTTTCTAAATACTCTTAAATCAATTTTACTACACGGTCCTTTCTGATTGTCGTTACTTAGCTGTTGCATGCACAGTATTTACTTAATATATTTATTTTAATTTTTAACTGGCCAGTAAAGGTGTGGGGTTTTTTCACTTGGAAATCACCCAGCTTTACTGCACATGGTGCCACATGCCAGTTTGCAGGCGTGACATTGATAATGGACTGTTTGGATAAATCTAATTAGTTATTTAGCTTGGGCTTAAATCTTATTGACTTCCTTTAGTTTAGCTTAATATGGAGTCACTATGGTTTTTTTTATTAACTTTGTTTTTGCACTCTTCTACCTGTGATTTGTTATAAGATGAAAATAAGCAGCGTTCTCTGTTTAAGTTAGTCCAGTAAAACTCCAGAGTAGTTCCTCATGAGCAGAATTGCTTCCTGGGGTTTTATGAAGTAAAAGTAAGATAAAGAGCTGCAAAAAGGAAGAGAAGCCGTTTTGTATTTACAGTGAAGTTGGAGCCTTTTCTTTGTGGACAGAAATTCAGTTGCTTTGCCTTTAGTATATTGCTGTATGACAGTGTTAGAATGTAATATCTTGGGCCAATCACTGTGTAGTCTCACTGTAAGTTGGCGGGCACCCATGCTGAGTTTTTATGAAGTCCCAGTGAACAAATATCCTATTTGAATATTCTGGTCCAGCTCATATAAGCATATTTTGTTATTTTTGCAGAGGTCCTTTCTTCTCTTTGATCATTTTGTTTTAGTATGTATTTTCATGATGGAATAATTATGGAAAAAAAAGTAGACATCTGACTACGACGAAATGATCAGATTAATTGTATAACATTTGTTTCTGGATCCTGGCGAATGTCACATGCTTCTGCGTGTAAGGTTATTCTCTGACATGTAGTAAATCCAGAGCAGAGGGAGTTGAACGGGCAACTCTGAAAAAATGCCACAGTTTTTGTCTTTAAGATATACACGTTGTGTTGTACTGAGTGCATCTTTGAAAGTAGTGTTCAGTAAGTGATGTATTGAAGCATTACAGATGCAACTCTGTTTGAGAAAATCATCCAATCACAGTTTGTCTTTAGTCTCAGTTATGTGTATTATGTATTTGAATAAGCTGCAATCATATGACTTCTGTTAAATAATGGGTAAAATTAATGTACAAACACAGTACAAAGAGCAAGTTAAAAGAAAGTTAAATATAGATCATATAAATTATATTAATTTTATCAAGGATAATGCTTTGTCCGAAGAGGTCACATATACAGTGTTTGCCAGATGGCTAATTTTTAACTGTTGTCCACAAGCCAGATGTAAACAAACAAAAAATAAATAAATAAAACATACTGAATGACTTAAATTCAGTGCATCATTTAGAAGAAAAATAAATATTTGTAAAAATTAAAGTAGAACTTAATGCGTAGTTGAGTCAGCAACTTTTAGCTTTTCTAAAAATTTTCTAAAATTCCTGTTAATTAAAACATCTTTGCAGACAAATATTTCAGTGACCTAAGTGCGTCTCCTAGAAGCAAAATCAGAAGTTTTTCACTCCAGTACCATGGACATGAATGAAGCTTGGAGTACCAAGTGCCCGACAGCTGTGAGATCATTTGCCATTTCCCCTGCAAGGTTTTGCATACAGGGCAGGTATTACCACTTTCGAAAAATAATTGCGTTGGGGATAACGGCTCTTTTGTCCCCATATGTTGATCATTTTCCAGAAGCCTGCATTACTCACCCTGTTTTTTTAACTCCCATATCTTTGGTTAAATTAATGTGGCTACTTTTGTGATTTCAGTGTGTCTTTGTGAGCCAGACGGATACACATGTGAACGCGTTGTATTGGCTTATTTTTACAAACGTCTGAGTTGATGTTGGAAAATTCTTGCTAGCGGCCATTGCATTGTTTTTCCGTAGCCTTCATGCATTAATTGTCCTGCAGTTTGTGATGTGTTTTCAATAAGGTACGTGTGCTGCTTTGCAGCACAGACATAATATGACTTGGCTGACGTTGCTTGCCCTACATCCAAAGTATTTCCAAACTATGAATGATGATCCGCTTCTAGGGACAAGCTCCACGTCGTGCTGCGCCAGACATTTAAATTTTGTTTCGATGGTCTGTTACCTGGAGTATATCACCCCAGTCAAGTGCTTTCAGGAAATGTGATGCTGAACAGTTATGGGAAGTCAAACTCTCAAATGATTGAGATTAGAATTTGAGTCATTGTGCAGCCCTAGTCCTAAATCCTGTTAAATTAGAGGGGACAAAGATAAAAGTACAAGCGATACCAGAGGTACCCATTAACCTGTAACATATTTGATACATACAGTTTTTCATCATCATTGTGATTCTGCTCTTTTGGGGGGGTTTTCTCCCATAAAACCTGAATAAATTGGACAATGCACTTTTAAACAATAAATTGCAAAAATTTTCAGAAGATTCAATGAACAAATTCTCTGAATGATTTCTTGGTTCGGGCTTTAAAGGGTTAACTCTTTGCTATGCATCAGCTGGTTTGTACAGTGTGTGTCTGATTATGTATGAAGGCACAAGTGTCTATATCTGTGGTGTGGAAGCTCTTCAGATCAGATGCTTTGAAGATGATTTTTAAGATGGGATTAAGATGTCTAATCAAAGGATTCATGCTTTTGTGCTTTGTTGTACTCATACGACGTGAATAAAGTAGTTTTAGGAATGAAAAGCAGACTTTAGAGGGAAATTTAGATGTGTGTGCTCTCGTATCTGCACACCTGGTGAATTGTTACACAAACTGCAGAGTTGACAGTTTTTGTTAAGTTATTAAAAACTGCCTCCATTGTAGAGGGAGAGGCTTCAGACACTAGCTATTTGACAGGCACATCATTTAAGTTGACAGCATTCGGGGTTTGCCAGGACAACAGATGCTGTCTACATTCACTGTAATACAATACAGTCTTGACTGCTCTACTGACAAGCCAGTGTAGGCATAAATATAATATAATCTCACCCAGTAAAACAAGTCTTTCTGTTCTTCTGCAGGTTGAAGCTCCATTCATACCAAAGTGTAGAGGCCCTGGGGACACCAGCAACTTCGACGACTACGAAGAGGAGGAAATCCGCGTTTCTTTAACGGAAAAATGCGCAAAGGAGTTCGCAGAGTTTTAGGACGTGAGAACATGGATATATCAGGGAAAATAAGGGGATCTTTGCACTCTTCTGAAGACTTGGGATGGAGCAGAGACCATCTTTTTCAGATCTACTACATAGTCCCTTCATTCCACAAGGCTGAATGAGGTCGCCATGATCCTTGGGTGCCGATAACCTGTCACCGTCACGTACACCTGCATATTATAGCAGACACATCACTTTTCTCTTTCTTTCTTTTGGTTTTTTTGTACTTATCCATTTTTTTACTTTGAAGCAGTTAGTCTTGGATGTTGTTATCCCCTATAAAAATGTGATATTTTTCAATTTATGAGGAAAAACTGACAGTGGCCAATAATGATACGCACGTTTTGGGTTGTAGGGATTCCCGTCCAGTTGTCAGCAATGTAAATTAAGAGTGTGCATCACATTTAGATTTTGTCTTAGGTGCAAATCTGTCCAGACATTTGACAACTTTGACTGATTAAAGGATGACCAAATGGGAAAACGCTTGGTGACACAAGAAGAGAGGTCCTTTCCATTCTTTGCTTTAAGCCTTAGAGAGCCAAATCCTTAGATGAGCCCCCCTCACCCCCATGTTCACTGTCTCCTTTGCATCGTGACCCAGGCACAGCAAGCCATGCAGAAAATGACAAACCTTGTTACATTAGTAAAAATGTAAAATCCACTTGTTTGTTTGATCTGCTTGGGTCCGCTAGTTACATGTAAAGTTTGATATGTTACAATATTTTGTCGCTGTGTCAAACATTATAGTCATATTGTTCCCATCGGGCCTGCTTATAAAGACCCTCATTACAAGTCTGTGGAACAACGTGACCTTGGTAAAAGGGAGTAAAGAGAAATCCTTTTAGGATTTTAACTTTTATGTAAAGCTGAGAGGGTCAGTGTGAATAGTGTTGCATCTCCGCACCTCAACATTTAGTGAACCTTAAAAAAAAAAAAAGTATAATGTACTCAATGAAAGATGTTTTAAAATCTTTGAACAGGAATGCATAAAAGAAAGGATATTTACCATATTCTCCCTGTTATCGCCCCAAAGAGACTCTTTATTTCATTCTTGTCAAAGAATGTAGATTTGCAACTTATAGGTATGCATATTTGAAAGCTTGATTTCAGTTTTCCTCACAATACACTGGCTAAAATGAAGACTGCTCCTTTGTATCACATGTAACCCTGTTATTGTTAAGCTCATTACATCATACGTATATGCATTGTTTCATATATGTTTTTATTTATACACATTAGAGATGCTAATAAATTTTATTTTTAAAAGTGTTGGAATTTTCTTGCACCCTTTCTTCCATTGTGGATTGCGGATCCTACTGTGTCCATCTGGGTAGTACCAAAAGTCCAGAGGCCTCAAGAGAAGATATTTTATTTTATACGTTTTGAGCAAGTTTGTATCACAATCATCACAATGAGCACGGATTCCTGATTTGGCATCTTGGTATGAACAGCTTGGACCACAACACTGTATATAAAAGATGACCATAGCCACCAGTGACGTGAAACCATAATATTAAACACAACGAAAACGGTTTACTGTGGATACTAACTGTGCTTCTCATGGTTTCCGTTCTGCCTGGTTTTCTTTTCCGGAAGTTGTCGTTCGGTTTGGACCTATGGTGTTGCCGTATTTCTATTAGGTACTCTGCGTATGGGTAATGTAGTGTAGCAGGAGACACGTGGGACGCTGCGTTGCCGTTCATTCGACGTATACGGAAACATGGCGGGCCTGGAACTGCTGTCTGATCAAGGATACCGTTTAGATGGAAGGAAAGCCACCGAGCTGCGAAAGCTTCAGGCCCGTATGGGTGTGTTCACTCAGGCCGACGGTTCTGCGTATTTAGAGCAGGGGAACACCAAAGCTCTGGCCGTGGTGTACGGTCCCCACGAAGTAAGTGCCGCGGATGGAGGAGAGGGTTAGTGGGGATAAACAATAAAATGCATTTGATTATGGTTATCACACCAATGACATAAAGTCGCCACATTTTGATATAATATAGTGTAAATACCTGAGAAAGGGGCATTTTCAGCGAGAACTTTTGCTTGTAGCAGTACTTGCACAGTGTAGTATCATTATTAAATTATTGCTCAAAGCAGACGGGATGTGTAGTAAGTTTTATTTAAGGCTCAACAGCATGAAGTATGAATTGAAATCAAAGTTGTTGTTGTTGTTATTCAACAACACTTTTCCACTTGAGTTTTTTAGTCCATATTGAGATATTAGCATCACACAGTGGCTATTGATTTGTTGGTTGCACATCCATAATATTAATCTCCTGTTACGCCACATCCTAAAGGTGCTCCTTTGGAATGAGACATGGTAATTGTAGAGGTCATTTGAGAATATTAAAGAAACCTGTTTGAGGTGTGTGATGTGGGGTGCTATCCTGCTGGAAGCAAACATCACAAGATGTGGTCATAAAGGGATGAACACAGTCAGCAACAATAATCAGGTTGACTCTGTGCAAATGATACGTTTATATTCCATTTGTGTTAACAAGCCATCGAACAAGTGCACCAAAAATGTGTCCAGTTGGTGTATATTGCAGCATTTATTTATGTTGGGTGCAGTTAACATTGTTCCAGTGTGTAAGCACAGTAACGTCCAGTCCAAGCTGTACATCAGTTCTTACTTGTCGTTTTCCTCCAGATGCGAGGTTCTCGAAGTCGGACTCTTCATGATCGAGCAGTTATCAACTGCCAGTATAGCATGGCCACGTTCAGCACAGCGGAGAGGAAGAGACGACCACACGGAGACCGCAAATCCACTGAGATGAGCCTCCACCTGAAGCAGACGTTTGAGGCTGCTGTGATGACCCAGCTGTACCCTCGATCTCAAATTGATATCTATGTCAAGGTTCGTGTTGGACTGACGCTTCATCTGGTGAGAGGTGTTATTGCAGAAATAGATTTTTTTGTAATTGTTCACAAACACGTTTCCATCGTCTTCCAACAGATTCTGCAGTCAGATGGAGGGAATTACAGCGTGTGCGTGAATGCTGCCACATTGGCAGTGATTGACGCTGGCATCCCCATGCGGGACTATGTGTGTGCCTGCACTGTAGGGTTTGTGGATGAGACCCCCCTTGCTGACCTGTGCTACGCGGAGGAAAATGGAGGCGTGAGCTCATTGGCTTTAGCGCTTCTGCCCCGAGGTGGACAGATCGCTCTGCTGCAGATGGATGCCAGACTGCATCAGGATCACCTCGAGACTCTGATTGAGGCTGCAATGACTGCTTGTAAAGGTGTGAGCAAAGTGCTGGATGAGGTGGTGAGGCAGCATCTTCAAGAAGCCTCGGTGCTAACCGGAGAGTGACGTGGGACAGCGGCAGGAACATGTGGAATCCAAGTGCAGCTTGAAAGTGTTATTGGACTTTAAATATTTTCAAATGATATTAACGTTTAATTCATTTATATCAGTCACTGAATACTTTTGTATAAATGTGATAAATGTAATAATAAATATGTTAGTCATGCATTGTTTCCTTATTGGTTGTTTATTTATGAGGGAGGTATTCAAACTTGTCTACTTATAGGACATCTGCTCCTGCAGCTTCACCTCTGCACCTGCCAGAGGTGAATATATATATATATATATATATATATATATATACACACACACATACTGGCAAGCTACCACATTGATGTTCTACATTTTATAGCAATAAATAATAATTAAAAAAAACGACGTTTAAATGTTTAAAACTAAATAAACGCGTAAACTCACAAGCTAAATGAAAACTACAAGCTTTAGGCATTTAAGAATATTTTTATGGGAAGTTTTAAAGCGCTATACAAATACAGACCATTTTAAACATGTACCTTAAAATAACGATGGAACAGGTTATTCATCCAGTATTTTCAATATTTCTTTGTGTCGTTTTATTTTGTTTTTATTTTAATTTTAACGTGGTTGAGCGGAAGTCGGTGCGCCGCAGTAATGTTCCCGCAGGAACAAGGAAATCAAAAACGTCCAGCAGCGGCTTCTGCGATAAAGCCCCACCTCTGAAGGTGGATGTGACCAGTGGACACAGGTGGGTTTTTCATATATATTCTGCAAAATAATACAAAGTTGTTGTTAAACATCTTTAAAAAACGCGTTTGCAGGGTATAGCCGGTTTAAACATTTACCATTTAGCGAAACCGTCCTGGCTAACCTCAGCTGTCAGTCGATGCTCTGACAATGGATCCCAGGAAGCAATTTCTCAGCTCGATATAAAGGCGTGATTACCCCAGCGTCGAATTGTCATAAATGTCTTTATATCGATGTTTATTTCTCAGCGGCAGCTATCCTGACGGATTGTTAGTGTGTTTCCTTCAGGATCCGCCAGTAAATCCAGGCTTTGGAGTAACGTTACAGCTGATAATATGGGGCTGCTATCTGACCCAAACAGAAGACGGGCTTTGATCAGCATGCTGACTCGCCTCAATGCCCCAATCTGGTGAGCTTCAGTCAGTGTCAACCGTCTGCCTACTTTCGTTTAGCTCTCTCTCTATTAATATTACTCCTGTCTTGTTTTAGTGTGGTCTGCTACTTTGCCGGTGTGGCTTGGTTCATGGGTTTGGCCTTTGAGCCGTTCACTCTGCGGACATACATGTCAGAGAATGCCATGGGCTCTACCATGGTGGAGGAGCGCTTTCCAGCTGGGGAGAGAGCGCTGGCCACAGGGAGGGAGTTTGCAGCCCATAAGAAGAAAGTTGGGTAAGGTTTACTATAGGCTTGTGGGTCTTTATGCAGTTTGTTCCTAGTTTTTTGTTGTTTTTTCAAACTCAAGTCTAGGTAGAAGTCTGATCGTTTTTAGTGTAATCTTGTTTGACTATTTACTTCTCTGCAGTGGGATGCCAGTGGACTGGCTCGTGAAGAATATGCAGGATCGAGGACTGGAAGTGTTTACTCAGAGCTTCTCTCGCACACTACCCTTCCCTGATGAAAACAAAGAGAGATATGTACGTTTATTGTGGAAAACTGATTTTGTTCTCAGCAAGAGACAGACTGGTGTTTGCATAATCTTTATGAATATTTCATGACTTCGTTTTTGGTGCTGTCTCCTCTTCTTGGCAGATTGTAAAAGGCACAAATGTATATGGTATCCTTCGAGCTCCTAGAGCTCCACGAACTGAAGCCTTGGTGCTGAGTGCTCCCTGCAGCCCAGGTGATAACAACAACCAGGCTGTGGGACTGCTTCTCGGCTTGGCTCAGTACTTCAGAAGTGAGTACAACACCCATTCCCCTCTCCTTCTCCACAATTTGAATGATGCTGCAGTTGCTTTTCTTGGTTTAATGAATGTTGTTTGTTTAATAGATCAGATTTACTGGGCCAAGGACATCATCTTCCTTGTCAATGAGCATGATTTGATTGGTATGCAGGCCTGGTTGGAGGGCTACCATCACACCAACACTACAGGTGATCAAACACGTGTATCTAGTTACAGTGCAGTAAAATAAAGGAAAGAGATGTATAACTAAGTTAACTTTACTGCTGAAATGGTTCATCCAGGTATGTCGTGGTCTCCATTACAAGGCCGTGGTGGATCAATCCAGGCAGCACTGTCCCTGGAGCTTAGCAGTGATGTCATCACCAGTTTGGACCTGGTACTGGAAGGCCTCAATGGCCAGTTACCCAACCTGGACTTAGCAAACCTTTTCTATGCCTTTTGTCAGAAGATAGGAGTTCTTTGCACCATCCAGGGCAAGGTAAAGGCTTATAAACAGACGCACTCTGCTCTGTGCATGGTTAGCAGAGTGCTAAGATTATGTGTTGGAGAGTCGTTATGTAGCTTTTCTTTGTGGATGTGTTTACAGCTGCAAAGGAACGATTGGGATAGCGTGTCAGGGTACAGCCACGCAGTCCAGACTATGATGCTGATGGTGATGAAGCAGGCCAGTGGGCGGCCCTGGGGAGACCACGGCCTGTTTCTGCGCTACCACATCGAAGCTGCAACCATCAAGGGTGTCAACAGCTTCCGGCAGTACAAGACTGACGCCACTACCATCGGCAGGTCAGAGATGGTGTATACTGATTTTGTTTATATTTAAGACTTTTATGTTCTGCTTGTAATTTGACACTTTTATGATCTTTTTTTTTTTTGTCTAAATAAATGTCCTGCAGGCTGCTGGAAGGAATGTATCGTAAGCTGAATAACCTCCTGGAGCGCCTGCACCAGTCTTATTTCTTCTACCTCATGCCGTCACTCTCTCACTTTGTCTCCATTGGATACTACATGCCAGCCTTCGGCCTGCTCGCCGTTATTCTGCTGCTTCGTGTATCCTGAAATAAAAATGAAATGTATAAAAGAAACCTAATAACAGCTGAGAGCAGGGTGGGAACAAATTCAACCTTCAGTCTTTTTTCCTTGACTGTAATACAGGCATTAGACTTGTGGGTTCAACTCAATACTCCACCATCGACAACAGAGGATGGAGTTGCTGACATTGATCAGGTTAGACACACGTGCTAAGACAAACTCATCAAAACTGAACCTGAATTTTGCTGGTTAAGCAACACTTTAATAAAAATCTGCTTCCTCCCAGCAGTCCAGTCCAGGAGTGCTGTCGGTGTTGACTCCTCTGGTGATCAGCCACCTGACAGGAGTTGCTCTGTACGCGTTGCCGATCCGTTTTCAGGAGACTGCTGTCGAACATTTCCCTGTGTCTGAGACCGAGGCTGTGGTCCTGACGGCAATTGCTATTTACACAGCAGGCCTGGCGTTGCCGCATAACACACACAGGTACTACATAATGTGTGTGTGTGTGTGTGTGTGTGTGTGTAAATTGATTTTCCTTGTTTATTTCCTTGTACATTTTATTAAATACACCTGTCCTACTGCTTATTAACCCAAATATTTAATCAATCAATCAGATGATAGTAAGAAGTGGTTTGTCTGAGTATTTCACAAACTGCCCACACAACCATCTCTAGGGTTTATAGAGAATGATCAGAAAAAGAGAGAAAAATATCCAGTGAGCGACAGTTCCTGATGTCAGAGTAGAGTGACTCGAGGAGGGCAAAACATTAATGTACAAACTATGAAACTGAGTTTTCAGTATGAGCACAAATTCAAATCATTCAGGGTTCTCACACTGACTTATGTATGCATCAGTGCACACACTTAAGAGACCTCCACATAGGAAGTGATTTCACAGCGACCAGAAACCACAGAAAGTCAGTAGCACTTGGTAACTTTAAGTTAAAAAGGTGACGGCGACATAAAATTTGTGGGGCCCGAATGAGTCTATCAACTAACTGTGGATTACCCCTCAAAGTTCAGTACATAAACTTAAATTGTAAACATGTCAAAACATAACCTTTAGTTGATTATCAGACAATGGCTAACTTGACGCAGGAGATTAAGTGAGCTGTTGTGTTGTTTGTTGCAGACTGCTGTCGGGGGAGGGCACAGAGCAGGGCTGGAGAGTGCTGAAGCTCGTCGCGGTGCTGTACCTGGCTGTGCTGCTGGGCTGCACTGCCCTCATCAACTTCTCCTTAGGCTTCATTCTGGCTCTCACTCTGGTGCCCTTAGCTGCCTTTGTCACACCCCACGTTCCAAAGTAAACACCTGCACAGACACTTTGGCCTTTATAGCCCTCTATCACTATACAGAACTAAAACTCTTTTTCTCTCTCCAGGGTTTTGTCAGCGTTCATCTTGGTCATCCTCAGCCCAGCTTGCACGCTCCTGTTTTCAGTCTTTTTCTTTCAAGAGCTGCAAGACATGCCTGTCAGCTTCCAAGATGGCTGGTTGCTGTTTCTATCAGTCATTTCACAGGGGATCCTGGACCACTCCCTGTACGGATCTTTAGTCTACCCACTCATAGCGTTGCTGGTTTTTCCATGCTGGCTGCTTTTCTGGAACATCCTCTTCTGGAAGTAGCCCACAGGTCCACTGAAGGGTCTCGTGAGTGCGACCGCCCTCTAAAATGTACTCAGGTCTGTCATTGCTGGGTGAATGTGAAGAATTACCAGTTGAATCCACTGGAGAGGAAAAAACAATGTACTGTAGTTGCCTTGGAGAAGACGCAGCAACTCCAACTCCATGTTTGGACATTTGGTTATTACGTTTACTCAAAATATTTCAGTCTTTAAACATCAGAGGCATTTCTGAGTCACCAAAAACTATTTGAAAGTGAGCAAAATGAACTGATTTCTACTTAACATCAGTCTCAGAATCACACAGTATAGCTGCATGAAGGGAATGAGTTTTTCCCAATAACTATAAAAGTCACGGTTGGGTTGATTTGTGTAAAAGGAGATTTTGATTAAAGACTTTTTTGGGGATTTCTTCTAAAGGTTTTTTGGGGGGATACATAAAGAACAATACTGTTTTTTTTATTAATCATACAGGATGCTAAACATTGACTCGGTACCAACATATAAAACAGCGATATAATGGTAGAAACCATTTTGGCCATCTGCCTCTTTTTAAAATGTTTGTCTGCATTGGAACAAGCCATCACTACATCTAATATTTTTATACTTGTTGAAACTTTGGTTTGTGTTTATTTCATATTTATGGCTGCCAAAAATAAAATACATTTTGACACCTTCCTGTATTATCACTGCACATACGTGCATCTTATTTACTGCGCCAACATAAATACATAAAAACGTTCCATTAGGACAGGGGTGAATTTTATATCATTTACTGTGTCACAGAATTATTTAACATAATCTGTAATATAATAAACATGGATGAAAAATAGTTTTTTTAGTGTAGAAAAACACAAAAAAGAGTGAAATAACACTTTTCCTACAGAAAGATTTCAGACCTGTTGCCACAGATTAAAAGGAAAGGCCCTGTACAAACATCTGGAGGGTTTACAGAGAACGGTCAAAGACAAAATACCCAGTGAGCTGCAGTTCTCTGGTTAAACATGCCTGTTTGATGCTAGAGGTTGGAGAAGAATGACCACACTGCTTCAAGATAATAGACACAGAAATAACCACATTACAGCCAAGTATGCTGAAGACAGCAGCAGAAGATCACACCAGATTCTGTTCACCTAGGAGCAGGAAGCTGAGGCTATGACTCACACCGCAGCCTTCTTGAGTATTGATGCTGACCGTGTTCATGCCTTTATGACCACAGTGGACCCATCGTCTGATGGCTGCAGGATAACGTACCATGTCAGAAAACTCAAATCATCTCAAACTGGTTTCTTGATATGACAATGAGTTCACTCAACTCACGTGGCCTCCACAATCACAGATCTCAAGGCAACAAAGCACCTTTGGGATGATGTGGAACAGGAGGTTAACATCATGTATGTGCAGCTGACAGATGTGCAGCATCTGTATGATGCCGTCATGCCATTCTGATGGATGTTTCCAGCACCTTGTTGAATCTGCGCCATGAAGAATTAAGTTAATTCTGAAGGCAAACAGAGGTCCAACCTGTTACTAGCAGGCTGTGCCTAATAACGCGACATTTGTAGATCTCACAAGAACAGAAAAAACAGCATTTATTTTAATCCCATTTTGTTTATTCAGATAATGTGAGCTTTTACAGTATTATGTACTGAAAACAGATCATTCTTTTGCTGTCACATCTCAAAGAAACAAATTAGATCAGCTGCTAAAATGTACAATTACTCAATGCTCCTCTGGTAAAAATAATACATGTAATACAATGTTATACAAAAATAAAAGCACTCAACAACCCTGTAAATGCATCACAAATCCTTCTCTTTACAGCCACGGCTGCTTCTTTTTTATTTCAAACACTTTTAAGATTCTTTTGGCACCAACAGATGTCATATTAACAGACAGAATAGGGTATTGCACAAGGCTTCAACCTTTCTTATCACTTCACAGTTGGCAGACACCGGAGTTTGACATTTCCACAAATTCAGCTCCAATCAAATTTACCTCCCTTCTCTTCCCACCTAAAATAAATATTAGGCTGTCTGTGTTGCTTGCTCCACACACACACACACACGCACACACACACACGCACACACACACACTCACTAACACCCACGCACGCACACAGTAAAATAAATAGCAAGGAGATCTGGCCTGATGCAGATGTATGTCATGGTCAGGTCATGTCCATATAAACTGTCAAAGCTTCGTGTCAGCAGTTCATCGTCTGAGCAGCGAAGGGTGCAGCTCTGCGTCATGCTACAGCGCTTCAAACGGCCCCGTCTTCAGCAGCCAGCCAGCTGTCAGAGGACTCTCAGTGCACTTGACAGGCTTCGTGTAAGTATTTTGTCAACATGTAAGTGGCAGAATTAGTCTTCTCACTCTGTGTGTATGTATGTGTGCGTGCGAGTGAGTGAGAAGTGAAATCCGGACAGTGATGAAGGGCAGTCAGCTGCTGCTTAAACCAGACTCTCCCCGATCCTCTCGCCTTCCTTTCTCCTTTGTGCGAGATGAAAAAAAGAGCACTGTCAGTAGGGGGAGAAGGTCCAGGAGAGTAAAACAAATATTGATTCCTAGGTATCTGTTATAGTACCTGCTGGATAAAGCTCTGTGTGTCAGGTCTGGCTGTAGCGCAGATCTCGCAGCCGGGACGAGATGGCTTGTTGATGAAAGTGCACGAGGGACACGCCCACTCTGTCTGCTGAGTACACAAACATTCATTTAAAGCTCTATCTGAAAAATTAGGTAGATTTTGCATTACCTCTTGTCTGTTGGGATTAAGAGCCCAGAACCCACCAACACTGACCTATGACTGCATTACAAAGACAAAAAAAACCAACCCCAAACAGGTTTACTTTAAGGTTTAATTCACTCCAAGCATAATCTATCCTTTAACTCTTCCCTCCTGGGATGCCTACTAGGGGTAACCCTTGTTTCTCTTTTCTGAACAGAGCAGTTTCTTTCATATTGTAGGCTGGCTTCCAAGACAAAATGACTGCGTCTCTTTATACAGCGTACTAGAGCCAAAACATGCCCTTGTTATTAGGGTGCAGGGGAGTTAATTAAGTTTGGCATCCCTGTGTCCCAGCAATGTTAGAAGCATCTTATACTAAACACATACCTGTGTTTTACTCGCTTTGCTGGTATGATCATTCAGCTGCAGCTTCTCAATGTCGAGAACATCTTTGATGTCACCTGGTCTGTCGCTCCCTCCACCTGTACCTGCGGACAACACAATGTTAAACTGGCTGCATCTACATCCAGCTTGAAAGACTTTCACACGCCTACAAAAATCCCAAAATAAAGAATTGTAATTTTTGAATAATATCTTAAGGTTATTTAGCAGCCCCACTCACAAATTCCTGACAGAACATGTACCACGCAGTATAATTCTTACATTAGGAATTGTTTTCCTGCAATGTTAATTCAGGTTTGACGACTCTCAAACTGTAGGGATTGTCCGGATTCTTGTATTTTCTACACAAGAATCCGGACAATCTTTGGGGGAAGATTGTCTGGCTTCCCCCAAAAGACAACAAGTAATTAGAATTGGATTTCAGCGTAGTACCATCATATCTATTTCCCTTTTCCTCCTGTCATGCTCCTCTATCTGCTCCTCCCAGGGCAGCATCGGTTTCACAAATGGGATCGATTTGGTCGATGCCATGTGTGTGGACAGGTGTTCATCCCTCTTGAAACAAAGGTCTATGTTGGTGTTTCGGACACCAACGAAAGACGATAAGACAGGCCGGCAGTTAAAAACTTGGACAGTTAAAGACTGGTTGCAAATCTTCTGCAGTCAGGAACTAATCTGGAAATCACGAGACTTTAATGTGTACACAGGTGACTTTCTACTAGACCAGGGGTGGGCAATCTTAGTCAACGAGGGCCGGTGTCCTGCCGGTTTTAGATCTCACCTTGGGTCAACACACCTGAATCACATGATTAGTTCATTACCAGGCCTCTGGGGAACTTCAGGACATGTTGAGGAGCTAATTTAGCCATTTAAATCAGCTGTGTTGGTTCGAGGACACATCTAAAACCTGCAGGGACACCGGCCCTTGTGGACTGAGATTGCCCACCCCTGTACTAGACTTTATGCTTCGTTGACCACAAGTTTGAGACGCAGTAAATCTAAAAGATGATCGAGTCAGCAAACATTGCTCCGGTGTTCGGTCACAGAGTGCTGGCTGCTCGGCGGCAACGCTTCCTCCATGAAGGGTTTCTTTACCTAATGAAATGAAACTAATTATGCAATAACTTCCAACATCCCCCTGATTCAGCCGCAGGAAAGGTTCAGTTTATATCAGTATTACCTCAGCACATCAGTGACAAAAAGTTCTAAAGTACCGAGGATGGTTAAGGTGGCTGCGACTGACTCTGCTAACAAGTGTTGTCGTTAATTAGCAGGACCGCAGCAGTGCACTCATCGCCTGCTGTGCAGATGCAACCGAAACATCATCATCGCAGTGTACCCTGAACTCACCCTGGTTGTTGTGGGGAAGCCTCGAGGGGAGGGTGTTGTAACCCCTCCAGTCCTGGGAGGTGGGCCCGTTGCCTGGGGGGAGAGGTGTGGTGAGTAGGGCACTCTCCAGGTCCTGCTGGAACAGCTGGCGGGTAATCCGGGCTTGCCGGGCAGAGATCAAGTATAGGTACGCTGTATCGCCATCCTTCTGCACCCCGTAGGAAGCTAATGACCTCGGCTCGGTGCACAAACACTGACCGATCACCCAGCGCTGGACGCGAGGATGGAAACCGTACTCGAGAAACACCTGAAGAAGAAGAAGAAAGGAGGAGGAAGTCAGTGAGTGCAAATTTATGATCAGCTACATTTCCAGCTGTTGTAACCAGCAGTTTTCTGACCTGTTGCTTGAGTGCAGCCACAGTCATGTAGGGAAACACTTTCACTGTGACACAACAGGATGACGAGACATCCTCCACCACCACAGATAAACTGCAACACAGACATGGCACACAGGTAAACCCTGGAAGACACAGCGGTCATAATAATGACCTTGAATAGCCCTGCGCAGCCAAACGTTTCTCCGCCTCCTCACCTGATTTCCCCATCTGCGTAGTTTTTTTCCGACAGCTGTATCGTCAGCGCCGCTTTCTGTCGAGCCAGCGCGGACGCGTGCTGTGAAGCAGCTTGCGTGTCGCCGGCTTCGATTGCCCTGGTGAGCTCCAAACACAGCTCCTCTGAAAAGCACAGCACAGCAATTAAACGGGACATTATTAAACCACACTGTGAGTAAAGAGAGAGAGAGAGAGAAAAAAAAACCATGGCGACAAACATGGATGCTCACCGCTCAGCGGGAGCGAGGCTGAGCTCCACTGCTCCTTCGCCACTGCTGTGTTGTTCTGTTTGCTGTCTGATTCGTATGTATCCACATTTGCAACTGTCAGAGGAGAGATGGAGAACTTTGTCACTGAAGTGCTTTACAACGCCTTGAAGTCAACACATACCAAGTTCAGCCGATATCAGTGTTTACACTTGCTGCACCGGGTTGATAAAGGTCCGACGTCTGCGCACGTTTATCACTAAGCAACATAGCAAAAGCATACAAAAAAACGAACGTCCTATAACAGTTGGTCCAACCCAAACGATACTTTATCTCCTCCAACTAACATGTGTAATGCTGCTTTGATTTGATTCCAGCTTTTACCTTAACATT